TTTGATTTTATTGATATATTTTTTTTAAATACATAAAAAAATTAACAATTAAAAAAAAAAGTTGATTATCACAATTTTAACAAATTTTCAAAAAAATTTAAATTGTTTTTTTTTTTTTTTTTATGTACTTTTCAAAAAAAAAAAAAATATATCAAAAAAAGATGAAATATAAATTTTATCCAAAAACGAGAGCCAAAAATTTTTCCAACTTTGGAAGGCAAAAAAGCTATCAAAATCTTTATTTTTTTTCTATCACGACATTTTATTATCATAAATACTTGTAAAAACAAGTAGAATAAAAAAAAAATTGAAAATGTTAATTTTACACCTAGATATGACTCAAAATCTAGACCTCACTTATAAATAATTACCAGATATAGTAACAATATTAAAATATTAGTCTATAAAAGTTTGATTTAATTGAAAATATTTCACAACACTATTTAATATTTATTCAAAATGAACTCCGTCATATTTGGTCAAAAAAAAAAACTAAGTATCTTATTAAGTGAAGAAATAAAAAAAAAATTAATTAGTAACTTAAAATTTATGACTTTGGTGTTCCATTGACTATTTGATTAGGTTCACCGGCAGTGGCTTTATTATTGAAAGTTTCTTCCGAAATTAATTTAAGTTTATCACTCATATTTTTCCCAGTTTCACTCAGCATCTTACTAAAATACCCGTCTTTATTTTTCAGAAGTAAATGGGGATGATCAAACTCAACAATTCTCCCATTATCCATCACAAGCACCTTATCACTGTCCATAATGGTATTAAGCCGATGCGCGATGGTAAGTACAGTACAGTCCTTAAACTTACTTCTAATAGTCTTCTGAATAAGCGCATCAGTAGCAGGATCAACATTAGCAGTAGCTTCATCTAATATCAGAATTTTATTATTCCTCACAATAGCCCTAGCAAGACACAAAAGCTGTCTTTGCCCGGCACTGAAGTTGCTTCCCCCCTGAGTGACAATATAATCAAGCGTTGGAGCAGCATTCTTTAACTCAACCTCCTCCAAAGCAGCCCAGAT